TAGACTTGCTGTTAGTGCGCTCTGTAAGCAGTTATTTGGGGGAAAAAGGCTCTTTAATCTGCAATTTTTTCGAAACTACATGAAAAACTAATGACTAGAAACCTGCAGCTATTTTAAAAAAAAAAAAAAAAAAAAAAAAAAAGTAAAAAGTTAAACGCTTAAACCCGGGTAATAGCCATTGGAACTGTTTATTTTTGTATGAAACTTTCCATCAATTTAGCTGGATTAGTTGAGTTTTAGTCGCTGCTCCTGCTGCCTCGTGAACTGAGCAGCGGATGGATGAAAAGCCTCGTCCTGAGCAACGCACCCAGCACAGGCAACGCTCGTGCTGCTGAGTTGGGATAAATTTGTGTTAAAAGTTTTCACTTTTGCCTCATTAAGCGACAACTATTTGGATGGGGTATGCCCTGTCACAGAACGTGCCGTGTTACTACGCAATAGTTTGATTTTTTTTTTTTTTTTTAATTAGTATTGGTGGTATTTAGATCAAGGCAAAATATTTCCCTGTGGGGTAAAGATATCCTGCTAAGGTGTCATCTGTTGAAATCCAGTTGGAAAACAAGGCAACAGTGTGAGAATATTCACACATGCGGCAGTTGCTCGCATCTTTCCATCTGTTTGCTTATAAGGTAAATTCCAATTTACAAAATGCCCACTTAATAATCCTCGTATTTGGGTTATCTCTACTTCCTCTACGACTATCTCTACTCATTAGCAAAATTCCGACTACTTAGTGTCAGCCACCTGTTTCTCAAGGACAGAGCGTAATATTTTGCTGAACGTTGTAGCCCCTGGTAGATTTTTCACAGTCAAGCGTTTTGTTTTGATGAACACAGCAGTCCTGGGTAAAATTCCACAGAATATCTAAGCAAGCAGGATTCTTAACAATATTTAAAAACCACTATAAGTTGCTAAACAGTTTTCTATGAGTAAATAAGTAAATAAATATCTTAAAACAAGTAATCCTTTCTCTGCATCACAACTGAAGGACCGCAGGCTGGCTGGCAGATTTGAGTTCTACCGAGAAGAACGTCGTAGTTTTAGGTTTTTTTTTTTTTTTTTTTTTTTTTTTTTTTTAATTGCATGGAAGACATTGTTTTCCTTTCTGGCCACTCGCCCACTTTACTAGTAAAACATACGTGACTGTCTCGTCACCACTATGTTTGGTGACGTTATCTGTTAAATCAGAAGAGAATTCCCCTGCGCAGGAGTCAGATTAGCAGCCAGAGAGGATATAAATGGAATGAATCAAATGGCTATTGGGGAATTGTGAGTGTGTTTTTATATTTAATAATAATAATTAAAAAAAAAAATAAATCTGTACTATCTTGAAAAAAAGTGGTTTTAAAAGGCTTGTCCAAACCCAGAGGTTTTCAGGTCATTATATCCACGTAAAAACGTAGCTCATGGAGGAGCTGAGAAATTCTCAGGACCTTTAATTTTTCACCGTAACTTTGGAATAGGGAAGTTTCCAGTGAGCTGGAACAAACCGACCAACCCTTGAGTTACCTGATGGTCTGTCAGGTTGGCATCTTTGAGACACGAGGGAATAGAGAGGTCCGTGCAATTAAAACCAGTCAGTCTCGGCGTATGAAAATGGAAGATGTTGGCATAAATTTTTGGTGATCGTTTGTATTGTTATAGTCGATTTCTGGGAGGATTTTTGGCCCAAGACATTAAAGAATTGGAAATAAATATGGTATCTATAGGCTAAATCAGATTTGTAGCCATAAAATGTCTAAATAGAACTGGTGACTGAGCAGATTATTGATTTTATTTTTTTTTTCAACTGGGACTCCTCACTTTATATATTCTTGATTTTATATTCTCTAATACACCATATAACAATAAAACTGCAGTTGAACGTCTACGCACGTATCACAGAGGTGATAAATACGGAACATTAGACAGAACTTTATAAGTGGGGCAGAATTTTATTTAAAAAAATAAATAAATTAATGGGATTGGTCCTATTGGTCGTATCATAGGAGAGCCTAGGGGCCAGAGCGACCGCTTTCCTGGGACAAAAATTTGAATAATCAGCAGGAGAAGGGTGAGAGAGTGCTATGAGAGGGTAATGAAATCCTGGGAAGGGTAACAGTGGTGATGGTCAGGTTGTGGCATGGGAGATGAGGGACTTCCATGCTGAGGTCAGCGTGACACAGGGGGTCTGACTGGCCACCGTGTTTTTTTTGAAATGTTGCAGGAGGTTTGGAGGAGGCTTAGGGAAGGGGCATAAAAACGATTTAAAAGACTCTCCTATTTACCATTTAAAAGCTACGAATCAGTTTCGGGGTGCTACTTGTTTCTAAAAGTTCACTAAGCTAGTCTTTAATTTTATTTTTTTTAAATTGTTTTCATTCTTTCAACTCAACAGACCAGGACTAGGATTAAAATTTCCTCTCCCTTTATATTCAGGAGGCTACATTGAAAATATTTCCTTAGCTTTTTCTCTGGATTCAGTTACCACCCCAATCAGACGGCTTGGCTTGTGTCTCTGCATCTCAAGGATGATGTAGGTCTAAACCAAACGTTTGTCAAAGCTCTGTGGCTCAGCTGGAAATCAGGGTGTAAATGTGCTGCTACTTCCTCGCCTCGGTTCTAGTCTCCGTTTTTGGGATGGAAGATAATGTGCCCGTGGAGCAGTTCCTCATTTGGTTTCAATTTTGCCTCTAAAACTTTAATGCCTAGAGAAAAAGCTTCCTCCTTTTCTCTTGTAAATAAAACCCAACAGTGTCCGTTCTCTCCCCCCGCAGTAATAAATTTTATATTATTCTTTCACCGAAGGATCCCAGAGAACCAGTCAAAGCCCTTGTAAATATTTTCGTCTCCATTATGGATGAGGAAACAGAGTGTGTCTCAAGAAATCATCATTAAAGCTGGAAATAGAACCCCTGATGCATAGTCTCATGTTCCAGCAGCGACTTGGCACAGTTTTCCTTGCACTTTAGTTAATGTATTTGGAAGTTACTACAGTAAGAAAAATGTCTTCACGCCCCGATGCGTGTCGGTGCTAATGTTACAATCCTTGTGTGTCCTTATTACTTAGATGCTCTTGGTCATGTCGCATCCCTGAGCTCTGCTAAGCCAGGCTTGTGTTGTTTTTTTTTTTTTTGGGGGGGGAAGGGAGGGCTGAAGGAGAGAAATGCTAGCAAGGGGATTGGGCGGTGGAAGCAAAGAAAACGAAATCCTGGAGTAGCGACTGCGTTCTGGTCATACATTTTAATGCGTTCGGTATATTGAGAGATCGGTATCATCGTAATGACAGATTCCTCCAACGCTGTTCACACAAAACCCTTGCTTTTCTCGTTGGGATTAAGTGTTCAGCCTCCAGGCGCGATGGCGAGATCAGGTTGGGGAATTTTGTTGGCCTTTCTTCCCTGGCAGCAGAGAGGCAAATTGGGTTTTATTTGGTATCAGTCTTTACCTCTCTTAATCGAATTTAGAAATGCAACTACGAACACTTAGAGATAGTCCGGCACATCAGTGTCACATTAAAGGCGTCTCAGTCCTGTAATTTGCAATATAAAAACTGCTGCAATAAATAAATAAAAAATAAATAAATAAATTGTACTGGCCAAGTACAATATTATCCAAATACGTTCAGAAAAATTTCCATGGGTATGATGTGATGGGAGTCTTTCATCAACTGAACCACACTTCCAAATGCAGTCACGTAAAGTAGCTTAACACAGTGAGGTGCCATACAACAGGACGCAACGCATTTTTATGACAGCATTTCCTTTTGTTTTTTTTTTTTTTTCCTTTTCCCTCCAATATAGAATGTAGCTAAAATACCGCAGTGATATTTTTTCTCCTCGAGTGCTGAAGACGTGTATGTGTATTGCTAAATCTCGGTGAATATCTTGCGACTTCGTTTTCTTTGGAGGACAAAAATAAATTGCGGCGTCTTGAGTTGCTGAAGATTTGGGGTGGGACTTAAAGACATCTTCAATTCATATCGAAGTATATTGAGATGAATCTGACGGTTTGGGAGAATGGTCAGCGATTGACTGTGAAATATTCTGGTAAAATGTGGCAGAAGCTGTGCCTTCGAGAAACTAATGTGGGGAAAAATAAATCATAACTAAGAGCCTTTTCCTGCTACAGAATGCCCTTAGTTACGAAATACCTCAATTATTCCATTAACCATCTATAAAAAGGAAATAAAATGACTCCCGCTAATAAGGCTTTGCGAAGGTGTATATATATCTATTTTTGCAGATATTGTGGTTTTCTCAGATATCAGCGTAATGGGGGACTATCGAACTCGCATAGGCATTTGCAGATCCTATTTGTGCTTTTGAAATTCAACTACGTGTCATTGATTTAACGAGCATGGGGGGAAAAAAAAAATACGTGTATAGCTGTACCTCATTACTGCACGTTGTGCGCTCAAGAAAAATGGTAAAAACAAAACGAGAGGTTTTTTTCCTTTGTTCGGGGAAAATAAGTTCTTACAGCTCAGCGCTTTATAATTGGTTTGAGGCATAGCTGTTCGCTCTTAGAGCATTAATCTAGAGAAATTAGTTAAAATAAAATCAGCAAATGCCAGCCACGCGGTAGGTGCTCCGTAGCTTGGCAAGTCGGAGTAGCCCTTGCTTCCAGCTGGGCCACCACAGGCTCCGTTGAGCAACCCAGAGATGAGATCTGTGGCTATTTAATATTTATTTATTTATTTATTTATTTATTTATTTATTTTCCAAGCAATTAGCTTACAAAGTTAATACTGAAAAAGACCAAGAGGTGCCCTGTCACTTCCCAAAGGATGGGGGGCATCGCAGCCAGAAGCTCAGGCCACAGATGATATGTCCCGGGTGCAAGGGATTAATTCGTGGCTGAAAGGAAGGAGACGACTCCAGCGGAGCGACGGCTTCGTGCAAAGAATTTTGCATCCGGAAAAAGCCTAGTCCGGAGTTGTTTGATTATGTGGGCTTGATTATGGTGGACAAGTACTTTGTCAGGGAGAAAGCACCGAGTGCTCTTTAATCAAGTGGAGAAGGGCTCTACAAGACCTTGGATGTCTTTATAATCAAGACTCGATTCCTTCCTGAAGAACGTGCTTGATTCAAACATGCTTTTGAGCTCAGGATGAGTGGGATTCCATGGCCTGTCCATACAAGAAACAGGATTTGATGACCCTTTAGTCTTAAAAATCTCCTCCCTCGTTTTTCTTTTCTCTCTATGCAAAAATCGAATTTGCTGGACTGATCTTCTTCTTCTTCTTTTTCTCCTTCTTCTTCTTCTTCTTCTTCTTCTTCTTCTTCTTCTTCTTCTTCTTCTTCTTCTTCTTCTTCTTCTTCTTCTTCTTCTTCT